ATATACGGTACCGGCCGAAGTGACGAAAAACTTGGCGTTCCATTCACGGGCGTAACTCTGGATAACCTCATACTTCGGAATCGTCTCGAACTCGTCGAGCAGGTCGGCCTTCGTCGCGCACAAATATATTAGACGGTCCGGCTGGTACCTCATCAACTCGTTGGCCCAGTAGTCGAGTTTGAGAAAGTTTTTCCAAGACCGCACGTCGTAGCAGAGTATCGCTGCCTTAGCGTCATGGTAATATAGGGAGCAAACCGATCGAAACCTGCATGTAACGATCGATCATTCAATGACCGTCCGGACCGGAAATATTGTTTATATTGTTTTTGGGACAATCGTTTAATCATTGTCAATCGACGAAAAGTAGCGTCATTCAGATTTCTCAATGTTATTGTAAAATGGTGATACTTTTCGTCGGGATCGTTGGAATGAATAATTTTTACCAAGTAAATCCGCCCTTGCTTGGACTATTCAAATAGAAAATTCAAAAGAGGAAACGAGGAATTAATATAGTGTATACATACCTTTCTTGGCCACTCGTGTCCCAACAATTTAATCGGTACTCGACATTTTTTACTTGCAAAACTTTGGAATGGAATGCTGCGCCTATAGTCTAAATCAAAATAGCTGTACCAACGATTTATCTCTCATTCGTACTGAGCAATAAACAAAAAAGCACTTACCTCGCGCTCGGACTCACTGTACGCATTTTTGAAGTATCGATTCATTAAACAAGTTTTCCCCGTCGAACTTTCCCCCAAAAGCACGACTTTGATGTTCTCCCTAGTGCCGATAGCCGTCATGGTCTTACTCTTATTAACATATATATTTGAACAGAAATATTTCAAACCGGTGCGCGTGAATGGAAATTTGTAAGTAATGAGTCATACGCGCGCGCGTCTTATCGGTTTCACACACTTTCGGCGAAAATCATGGCGTTCGATTTGCGAAGCGATAAGCTTTTTCTTCTGATCGGTACAGTAAACTCCGCAATTCACGGTGTTTTTGACAACCGGTCATACATTTTGCCGAAAACTGTGTCACTCAACAATAGGCAATTATTTATCTGAAGCGCTGAATCTCAACAACCTACCCGTTCCGTACATCAAACCGTCGCACACCGCAATTATATAAACATTAGCGCCGGAGCTCAGAGTAGCGAGAAAGATTTTAAAAATCGCACCACATCGAAATTCTTAAACGTACTGTGAAATGATAAAAAATGTTATCTCGGGCTTTGTCCGGCACTTGAATGTACATCACCATACTTACACTCGGCTGCTGCATACATATTATACTCCGGAATGTCCGCACAAGAGAGAGAGAGAGCAACTCAATCCATATACACATATATACGTGCGGCAATTTAATAACAGCGTATGGTATATGCATACACACGTGATCAAGGGATAGGCGAGACACGGATGCGCTTCGCCTGTGCACGCATAGGTGTATATCATTACAAGAGCTCGAGAAAGTGAAAGCTCTCGTGCTGCAAAAATGCTATAGCTGGGAAACGTGGATCAGGTGGAGGAAGAAAATTCAGTCGTTAATAAGTACATTAGAGAGATAGCGCCGGATGAAGTTAGATGGAAAGCGTTTTGTGAAAATGTACCTCAATGAACATCGTTCTCGGTAAAATTTATTTTGTTTGATGTGTGGAGGTTGAGAGAAAAATTCGCTTGGTCCGTATATATTTTATAGTTTGCTGACTCAATGTGAGTATTGGGTTCGCTTTTTTATATTGTTTTTTTTTTCCCCCCCGACCACATCAAGCTACGAACTATACAATCATCGGGGGTCACTCGATCCGCAGTTTTGTAACTCGATCGTTTCCCGACATGTATACACACACACACACATATATATATACTTTTCTCGGCTTACCGCAACGGTAAAACAAAGTACGTCCTTTATCGTTACAATTTTAATTCACGAGAATAAAGAAAAATGGCAAAACGTTCGGATGCTGCGGTACAGCGACTCACCGCTACTCACATATATATATGTATATACGCAGTATAATAGTTACTGCGGGGCAGCCAATAACGGAGCAAAAAGCTCGCGCAATGTGTTGTACATGAAAAACTGTTTCACCATTAATTAGTGTCCACCAACAGGTGGAGAAAAATAAATAAAATATGTATGGTACCTCGAAGAAACCGTAGTCTGCCGAGTCGACGATGACGGTGAGCTTGTAAGTTCCATCGTTGAGGAGGCCCTCCATCGACGTGAACGGCATGACGAAGACCTTGATCGCCAGGAAGCTGATGAGAGCCGCCGAGTAGGCTGCCAGGATGATGGCCCCGGTCATGTGCACCACCCAATTGATGATACGTATCGAGTCGATGTTCACCGAGTCGTGACCTTGAATTGCACGTATACGACGTTACATGTATCGATTATCCATACATTGGTCAAACGGGGATATACCTTGGGCGCAGAGTGCCCCGAACGTGTGGAAGACGGTTTCGGTGAGCTCGAGGCTCGCCTCGTTTCTACGCTCCGGTGGAACGGACCGTTGCACCGACTGCAGCGTCTTGCACCCCATGAGGGTGAGCGCGCTCGACAGGGCGATGACTATCAGAAGACTCGTCCAGATCCCGGGGTAGAACGGGTCCGAGTACGCCGTCCACTTGATGGCCGTGTAGTACGGCCTCTTTATGTATATACGGTACCTGTCGTTTGTTCGATTTTTTTAACTATTTTTAGTTGTGGGACATTGTTTATAGCAATGCTGGGGAGGCTGATAAATACATGTATGTCGAACCGGCTCGATTTAAATAAAATAATACCGCGCCGTGTATAATATATATGGACTATCGAGTAAGACGATTTGGTATGATACTCATACTGTAAAAAAACAAATCGGTGATTCGGTGTACGAAAGTAATGTAATTTCGAGACTTTTGTTTTTTCTTTTTTTTTTTTTTTTTTTTTTTTTTTATTCGTAATTTCGAAAGAAAAACACCTTTTCTTGGATTTATTCCCCCATCTTTGTCGTTCGATTTAAATTTATTGTGCCTGCGCAGCAAACAGTTTTTCAAAATTATATCGCAAATTTTATAGGTACTCGCATGGAATACAGATTTCCTCCCGAACGCGCTCGAGGCCCACTTGATTCACAAATTATCGTCATTATTTATAAATACATATCGGACACCTGTATGAATTATAAATATTTTGCGCCATCGACAATGTTGATACTTTTTTTTTTTCATCATCATGCACAAACGAAAAAACAAAAAAGCTGCAAGAGACAAGCAAAGGTGTCCGCGTCGGGCCCATAAAAGCAGATGCACGGGCTAGGATACATACACGCAACATCATGTTAAAAGGACACGACGCGTGCCATAGTTGTCGACGCGCCCTGCATACAATATAGGATAGGATGTATATAGGCAGATAGGCGTATGCATGTAGTATTATAATGCAGTGTGGTATATTGTAAAAATTTTCAATGCAGAAGCTCGAGCGATACTTGTATGCAAGTACTACAAGAAATAAAAGTCAATATCGGCCCTACGCTCACGTCATTCCACGTACACGCGTACGTATAAAACGAGTAATGCTCTATAAACTTTGCGATATTATTAAATTTGATCGAGGGTGAAGCGCGTGCGCCTTTGTCCGTCATTCCAAAAATATATTTTACCATGTAAAATTTTTTTCTCGGCAAGATGACTGATTCATTTTGAAAGCGAGGGTATAAGGTAGGATATAGGTACATGTAGCTTAAAAAATTTATGTTAACGTAATGGTAAAAATGTCGGCCCGAGAGAGGAGAAAGGAAAAACACCCGCTAGACATGTGTGTGTATGGAAAATTGTCATAAAATACCAATGTATATGTATACACTGTCGTTGAATATACTATATGGGCTGTATGATAATGTATAGGTGTATTGTGCGGGGCCGGATCCACAAAGTCATTAGCTGCATACATACATGGCACATAACTGATAATGTATGTCGCATATATACCTCAGAAGAGGAAGAGAGGAGACCACCGCCGGAGTTTTCGATGCCGAGCGTGCGGATGATCCTCCGACCCCTGCTGCAAAATTCGTATCCCTACAGGTAAAATCGCGTAAGAGTCCGTGCAAGCATTAATTTTGATAGAATGAAGGATGCGTGGACAGACTTTCCCCTATATCGTTGCACACCATAATATTATACTAGTAACTTAACGAGAGAGAGAGAGTTTGAAAAGATTGAACGAGACACAATTATTATACATGAATTGTAATGAACGAAAGGCACAAACGAAACGTAAAAACGAAGCCGACGGAGAAAGCGAAATTAAGGTCAGGATGGAAATTTGTCCCGGAGGATTTCAATATTGAATTAAAACACGCGATTGAAACATAAAGGCTGCGTCAATCTGCATTCGTTCTCCTTTCGTTGGATTATTGCACAACACGTGTTGCATATGTGGTTCTCCCCGTAGAACGGCATACTGTATAATATATATGTGTGTGTGTGTGTGTGCGTGTGGTGATGATGGTGATGATCAAGCGAGGTGGTCAAAATCCAAGGGAAAGAAAGACGTTATAGCCGGGATTAGAGCAGTGAGGGGTGAAGAGCGATCACCGCAGCTTTGCAGAGGCGCCTATCTGTAGGCCGATAAGCACGGCTCGGGCCCGGAACGAGCCCAGATAAGGCTTTTTCTCCCTCTCCTGCTGGACTCTTCCAATAATCTACGTTACACTCTTTCTCTTTTTCCAAATAACTATCCTGTTACTCCTCCCCCATCCCGCTAAGCTATATACTTACTGCACTATATATAATTAAACAACATGTAAATACATATAGGTATGATGTGTCTTTTACGCGACTACTGTGACAACTTCGTCATCATCATCATCATCATCATCATTCTTTTTCAGCAGAGGTTCAGTTTTTGGTATTAAAATAACATAATGCAAGTACGCAGACATGCTGTGGCGACGAACGACAAAAGTCAATCAATGAATATCGAGAGTCCCATGGTAGCTCGGCGTTGTTGGCAGTTCATTCGCACGCTGCACTTCATCCACCGATGATGGGTAAATATGATATATATATATATATAGGGGTAGGTATATACTTAAGCAGTACGGATGTCATGGCATCGCCTCGCATCGACCACTCGACTTTTCTCATTCGAGTGCGCGTGGCTCGCATTCAAACACAAAAAATACACTCACACCACGTATATATATATTTATAAATGTATGTATGTATGTATGTATGTATATAAGGCCCCCCTTTCCCATTGCGGATTCGGGCTGCTGCACACCCCCGGCCCAGAATTCATTTTGTCTGCGTGCGGTGTCGTCTTTATATCGTCACCTGGAGCTCTGATGTGCTTGCCAAACTGCAGTGTAAAGAATATGCTCGGCTCGAATATGCCGAGGCGATGGGCCCAAAGGGGTCTCTCGATTTCCCGCCGATTGCCTCGGAAATCCATTTAGGGGCGCACGCCCACGCAACCGCAACAAATCCGAACAATCAACTCTGGAATAGCGCATCCATAGGGTGCATTGGGCAAGACGAGCGAGTATACAGTCACAAAGGGACCAGGTGAACGGATTGAATGGCCAAATGTCCGACAATGGGTATTATATATACATATAGATGCATACATACATACCTTTCGATAGGCCTCGACTAATTTTTCCGTCAAGCTCGCCCGCCTCTTTTTGCCTTCCTGCTGCCACCCCGTATTAGATATTCGTTACGTAACGTTATTTTCCGGCTATACCGATGCTGAGCTCTCTCTTCTTTTTCCCCCGCGTGCAGTTCGTCTCGGGACTCTCCAG